AAAGATATAGTAATTAAAACAACATGGCACTGGCATAGAAACAGAAACATAAACCAAGAGAACAGAATAGATAGCCCAAAAATAAACCATGTTTTTATGGTGCTATGGTTTGATTATGGTGTGTACCCACCAAAATTTGTGTAAAGGCTAGGTCCCAAATGTAATTGTATTGAAAGAAAGTGGAACCTTTAAGAGGCATTTGAGTTGTGAGAGATCTGCCAACATGTATGTATTAATACAGTCTATAGGGATTGAGGGAGTTTTCACTCTTGAGGGACTACATTGGTTACCATGAGAGAAGATTGCTATAAAACAAGGTTGCCTCTCATATTTGGTCTTTTTTCCACATGCCCACTTCTCTGCTACTCCACCATGTTGTGATGCAGTATAGGACCCTCACAAGAAGCTGAGCAGATGGCCAGGACCATGCTCTTGGACTTTTTAACAACCAGAATTGTGAGTGAAATAAACTTCTTTTCTTTAATTACCTAGCCTCAGATTTTCTGCTATAGCAACACTAAGTGGATAAAGACTGATTTTCAACAGAGATGCCAAGAACACACAATGAGCAAAGAACAGTCTCTTCAATAAATAGTGTTGAAAAAACTGGATATCTGCATGCGGGCGAATAAAATTAGACCCTTGTCTCCCACTATATACAAAATCAATTCAAAATAGATGAATGACTTAAATGCTAGACCTGAAACTATAAAACTACTACAAAATATAAAGAAAAGTCTTCATGACATTGGTCTGGGCAATGATGTTTTAGATATTACCACAAAGCACAGACAACAAAAGTGAAAATAAATAAATGGGATTATGTCAAACTAGAAAGCTTCTGCACAACCAAGGAAACAATCAAAAGATGAAGTGACAATCTACAGAATGGGAGAAGACATTTGAAAACCATGCATCTGATAAGGGGATAATATCTGAAATACATAAGGAACTCAAACTCAATAGATAGCAAACAAGTGACCTGATTTAAAAAATAATAATTAAAAAAAAGGTCAATAGGGCCGAGTGTGGTGGCTTGTGCCTGTAATTCCAGTACTTTCGGAGGCAGAGGCAGATGGATCACAAAGTCAGGAGTTCGAGACCAGCCTGACAAACATGGTGAAACCCCGTCTCTACTAAAAATACAAAAATTAGTCAGGCGTGGTGATGCGTGCCTGTAATCCCAGCTACTCAGGAGACTGAGGCAGGAGAATTGCTTGAACCCAGGAAGAGGAGATTGAAGTGAGCCGAGATCACACCACTGCATTCCAGCCTGGGCAACAGAGCAAGACTCCATCTTTAAAAAAAAAAAAAAAGTCAATATATTTGAATACATATTCCTCAAAAGAAGGCTGCAAACATCCACTGAGTATATGACAAAATGCTCAACATCACTAATCATAATGGAAATGCAAGTTGAAAGTACAATGAACTATTATCTCACACCTGTTAGAATAACTGTTACCAAAGAGACAAAAGATAACAAGTGTTGTCAAAGATGTAGAGAAACAGGAACCCTTGTACACTATTGGTGAAAATGTAAATAAGTACAGCCATTATGGAAAACAGCATGGAGGAGCCTCAAAAAATTAAAATAGAACTATCATATAATCCAGCAATCTCGCTACTGGGTATATAGCCAAAGGAAATGAAATTGCTATATCAAAGAAATACCTGTATTCCCATGTTCACAGGGTACTATATATAATAAGTCAACATATGAATCAATCAAATTGTCCTTCAACGGATGAGTGAATAAAGAAAATAGAGTATATATCTACAATGAAATACTATTCAGTCTTTAAAAAGACAAGTCTTCTATTTGCATTAACATGGATAAACCTGGAGGACATTATGGTAAGTGAAATTGGCAGGCACAGAAAGACAAATACCACATGATCTTAATTATATTTGGAATAAAATAATAGTGGAACTCTGCTGCTCTGTCTATGGAGTGGCCATTCTTTTATTCTTCCACTTTCTTAATAAACTTCTTTTCACTTTACTGTATGGACTCACCCTGAATTCTCTCTCTCTTGGGGTCTAGATCGGTACCCCTTTCCTGTAATATCTTTCTGGCAACCACGGAATGAACTATAGTGTGGAAACCCTTGACCCAAAGGCTATCTTTGGATAGGTGGTGGGGTCCAGTAACATCTTTCTGGCAAATCCTGAAGGGATGATACTGAAGAGTCCCCTGACTCAAAGGAAAATCATCTGCTTGCACCGACTGACTAACTTTGGGAAAGTGGAGTGCATATACCGGGGTAAAGCAGGATTCGGTTAGACGCCCAACTTAGGGGAGTTAGAGTCTCTCCTAAAATAGAGAGGGTTAAAGTCGCCTCTCAGTAAAAGGCAATGACACTTGACCGACCTTGAGTTAGAGGCCCAACTTAGGAAGGTTAGAGTCCCTTCTAAGATTTTGGGGGTTAGAGGCCCCTGTCAGTAAAATCCCTGTGGATAAAGTCCCTTTTGGCTAAGAATGGGTTTGGCAGTATGGGATGTTAACTGCTATTCTCTTTGGATTTATCTGCCTTGTAATGTTTGCTGATGGCCATGGGTGACAGGGTTAGGCATGTACAGGTTTGTGGGACATGAGAAGCTTTTTCCTCCCTAAAAGAGGAAACTTTAGAGCTGATGGGACTGCTGGAAAAAAAAATGCCTTCACACTAGCAGCCACCTGATGTTTTCAGTGTTGCTACAATGAGTGGGTCTTTCTCTGTGCCTCCCTGAGCATTTTGTCTTCTCCACCCTGCCACAGGCAATGCTTTTTCTCACTCTCCTTTCCCTTTTATATCTTTTCTATTACTCAGGCTGACCATCTTGCCCAGAGAACACATGTTGAAACTCCTGATCAGAGGGTGGATTAACACTTATGGGGGCAAGTTTGAGCCTTACCAGTTTGATATTGGTTGCTAAGAAGAGTGGCTAATGTCTATCTTTTGTTACACGTATTTTACTCTAGCCAGAATGGAAAGATATAATGTTCCTTTGTGTTGCAGCTTGACCCCCAGGGCTGTGGTGCGGACATCGGGGTCACTAGGGCCATTCAGGGAAAGAAAGCCCAGAAGTCTGGCATGCTGGCAAAAGGGTAAGAATTTATAACCAGTTAGACTTCCAACCTCTCTCTCTCTCTCTTTCTCTGTGTGTGTGTGTGTGTGTGTGTGTGTGTGTGTGTACACACGCATGCACACACACGTGTAAACTGGATGAGGTTTCCCTTTGGTCAGTCATCTTCTTGGGAGCTTGACCTTGTAAGCACGTGGCAGAACTTTCTCTTGGTCTCCACCATCACAGTGGCGGCCTGGGTTCAGGGTTCAATTCCCAGCTTAGGGGATGATCCTTCATTTTCTGTCTGTCTATGTATTTATATATATTATGTGTGTGTAACATAAAAGAGCTTTAACTAATTTGTTTAAAAATAATAAGAGATTAAATAAAATATTTTGTCAGAAAAGTAAAAAGTACAATGCCTTTTAGTTCATGTGACCTAAGTAATCTTAGGGAAATAAAGACAGTTTTAAAAATTATTAGTAAAATAAAAATACTTTCAAAAATGTAAACATTTGTTCTAAATTATGCAGGTGTTGCATAAACTGCTTCTTTGACTTTTGAAAATTGTTCAATTTACCTATCATGGATATATTATATTCTAGATAAGGCCTGAGGACATGTGGAATTAGCCATGCCCCAGCTATACAAAGAAGGTTATAAAGAAAAGATATTTTATATAAGAAAAGATGTTGTGTAGTAAATTCTTGTCCTAAAGTAAAATGACTGGTTGTTTAAAAAGAGGGATTTATTTTTTATTTTATTATACTTAAGTTGTCGGATACTTGTGCAGAACTTACAGGTTTGTTACATAGGTATACATGTGCCATGGTGGTTTGCTGCACCCCATCAACTCATCATCAACATTAGGTATTTCCACTAATGATATCCCTCCCCTTGCCTCCCGCCCCCCAACATGCCCCAGTGTGTGATGTTCCCCTCCCTATACCCATATGTTCTAAAAAGAGGGATGTTAAGGCAAGTCAGAAAGTCTAAGCACATCTGTGTAAGTCGTGAAAAAATTTGTGAAAGGGAATTTATGCAAAAAAAACTTTGTACTATTTAAAGGTATTTAGGCCTCCTAAATGCATCATAAAATGTTACTGTGGCTCTAACTGTACAGCTTGCCTGCTTTACAGATAGGTAAGGTCTGGTACATGTGGAGTTAGCCATGCCCCCATCTATGCTGGAAAAAGTCAGCCCTTATCTGCACTTCTGTCTGGTGTGTCCTAGGATAGGCTACACACCTGGTACATAATTAAAATTGCTACTTACAGGGTTTTCACCAAAAGTAAAAGTTACTAAGAGTTAACATTGTATCATGTAATTGAGACTACTGAAGAAACAGTTTTACATGCAAGGTGTGTAGGGAAAGTGAAATGAGTGGTAAAATACTATAAGAAGGCATTGGTATGTGGATTTTTCTTGCCTAAAGAGTTAAAGGATTGTTTTAAATTCGATAGAATAAAGCTGGAGGTTTAAGCAAGTTGTGGAAGGCTTGTAAAAAATTAATTGTAAAAGAAATTATGTGTATGAACATATTGGCTAAAGTTAAAGGAGTATTAGTCAGTTTTTTCATAAATCAAACATTGGAATAAAAGCACAACAGGTTTTTCTTAAAGCAAAAATCTGTTTATAATCTGCTCTTTGACAACAATTTGTAAATAATTATAAAATGTTTGTGAGGGGGGCATGGGCAGGGGAGGGGTGGAGCCGCCATGGGCCAGGCCCCCTTCATGGGTGAGGGCCTCAGTCCCCAGCTCCTGCTGGGCACACACACACGCTTCCTCTCCTGTGCTCCTGGGCATCTGGAGGCAAAGGTCCTGCAGCGTTCACGAGAATCCAGGTCCCTGCAAGTCCAGGATCCGCTCCTCCAGCCATGCCCAGGGCATACGAGCTGGCCAGCCTTGGGGAGAACACACGGGGTGCCGCAGGAGTCCTGTGGGAAGATGCAGAAGCCCAACAGCAAGATCGTGCTGCTGGGGGAGATGAACGTGGGGAAGACGTCGCTGCTGCAGCGGTACATCGAGCAGCACTTCCTGGACAGGTCAGCATGGTGGGCGGTGCCCTCTACCTGAAGCAGTGACGCTCCTACATCTCCATCTGGGACACGGCAGGGCGGGAGCAGTTCCACGGCCTGAGCTCCATGTACGGCCTGGGCTCCATGTACTGCCGGAGAGCAGCTGCCATCATCCTCACCTATGATGTGAATCACCCACAGAGCCTGGTGGAGTTGGAGGATCACTTCCTGGGCCTGACAGAAACAGCCAGCAAAGACTGCCTCTTTGCCATCGTGGGGAACAAAGTGGACCTCACTGAGGAGGGGCCCTTGGAGGGCCAGGAGAAGGGAGAGTGCAGTCCCAACTTGGACAGCAGGGGCTGTGTCTCCCCCAGGGTGCCTAAGCAGGTGCATCTGGAGGATGCGGTGGCCCTTTATAAAAAGATCCTGAAGTACAATATGCTGGATGAGCAGGACATGCCGGCCGCTGAGCAGATGTGCTTTGAGACCAGTGCCAAGACGGGCTACAATGTGGACCTCCTGTTTGAGACACTGTTTGACCTGGTGGTGCCAATAATCTCACAGCAGAGAGCTGAGAGGCCATCACACACGGTGGACATATCCAGCCATAAGCCACCCAAGAGGGCGAGATCTGGGTGTTGTGCCTGACTTTCAAGGGCCCCCCAGACTCAGACGGTGTGTGTGGAAAGGGGTCTGAGCAGGCAAGCTGTGATCTGAAAGGCGCAAGGAACACTGGAGAATTATTTTACGGAACACCACACTCAGTGAAATGGAGTGGAAATGGCAGCTCGGCCTCAAGAGGAGGTCGATGTGTGTGGTCTCCTCAGTCTCTGTCAGAGGGCCGGGGAGGTGGGGAATGGGAATCCTCTGCAAAGCACAATCTGCCGAGCCGAGACCCCTGGCACTCTCTGCCCTGCTGCCCAGCACTGGTCCTTCTCAACCAGCCTCCCACAGCCCCCTCACCCTCATACAGGCACAAAAGAAGCACACGTCTGCACCTGCGCCTCTGACCCTTTCAGCACCCTGGGCTGTTACCACATCCTACAACTTACATGTGTCTTGTTCTCAAGCGTTTCTCTTCACTGTGAGTTGTCTTTGGTCCTCCCACTTGGTACTTGTATCTTGATGCTTTATAATCCTGACTCTCGACATGTTCATTTATACAAATCAGGAATAACTGTTTTTATACTGATTGCAGCAATGTGGGCTGCATGTATTATTAAAGAGGATTTTGGGAAAACCTTTGCTTTGAAAAAAAAAGTTCATGAAAATCTTACTTTATGGTCAAACTGATTAAGATTAAACACATTTGTCTATAAGGTTTTATTAAGAATTGGGTCTGACATCAGTAATGCACTAATGCAAGAGGGACATTTGGCTTATTTGCTATAAAAATCATACAGGAAGCATTGTCAAACATGAAATGGTGCTTAGTTTTCTTTAGACTGTATTTGTATAAATATATTATTGGTATGTGTTCCAAAACCATGGGAAACTCCTATAATTCGGATATAATTTAGTGTGTGTTATTAATAATTGTTACATAAAATCATTGTATGCTACAGAGGTAACCAAATTTTTCTGTCAATCATGTTTTTGACTGTGGCTGTCCTAAGACTTTTTCTCATCCACAGACAATTATTGACTTGTTTTTATCTTCTTCAAAGGGTGATTTATAAGCAGCTATAGGACTCTAACAGGTGTTCTTATATGCAGATTTTGGATAAGTTTGAAAATTGTGACATTAGAATAGAGGAAACAATTTCAGGACTCTCATGGAGAGCTGAAGTGTTCACAAATACCAAGCAGAACAGGAATTAACTGCATCAACTAAACTAAAAAAGTCTGAAGTAACATTTTTAACTTTGCTTAAAACATTGCTAATCCTTCGTTTTGTTTTTCAGAGTCAAGGAAACTTTTATTGTGAGCTATTTACAGCTTTTAGCAATACAGTAAAGTATACTGCTATGAACAAAATTTTGGGTATATTTGTTTCTACCTGATTTATCCAGAATTTGAAAACCAGTTGTCAGTATTCTTAATTTATGGCAGTATAGTTATTTGTATAAGTGCAATAAGAATCTGCTTTCTTTTCCAACAGGACGCAGTTGGAGAAATCGGTTATTTTACCAGAGCTTTGACTGGAATGGGATGCTTTCCTTTAAAAAATCACACTTGACTTGTAAAGCCAATAAAAGCCTTTGGGGGTCAGTGGTTGCCTCATACCTTGCCTCTACAGTCCCTGTACAGGGTGTCTGACCTGTGGTAAGTAAACAATGTCACTTTCTAACAGGTACAGGAGCCCCAAGTTATCTTGGGACCACAAGAAGAGAGGAACTTATTCAGCTCATAGGTATTTGAGGGTGCAAACCCATGGCTGGACTCAGCTTTTAAAAAGTCTTATCTCAAATCCCGTCTACGGAACAAAGTTCCATCAAGGCCAGTTTACAAAAAGCTTATATGAAAAATAATTTTTCTTGCTGCACTTTATACAAATAGTCAGACCTAGTATAATAAAGCAAATTGGTCTTAATTTGTCTCTAGTAAAAATGGGAAACTAGAGAGATAAATATTAAGTTTCAAGGACTGTGGTACACTTGTTATTAAATTCTAGTCTCATCAATTTTTTTTTCTGGAATTTAGGCTAACCTTGCTTATTCCTGTGAACAAACCAGTGATCTCTGACTGCTGCTCAGAAGAAACAAGAAGGATAGGTAGTGTAAAAATCTGGATCAATAGTCTAATTCTGGGCACAAATCAAAATCATCTAGCAACCCCATATCAACTTGGTTCCAACAGTTGCCCAGTTCATGAAAAGTCTTCTAATTTACTTTACTTGGGATAATTGTACATATTTTGCTTTACTCTTGTGGAATATATTGCTGTTCTACTCTTCAGGTAGGAATGCAGCATAAGCTTACTGAATGTTTTCTTAAACTGAACAATTATTAATCTTCCAGATATCACCAAGAGTCATGAATGGTCCTCACCATACCAATGGTTTCTGGCTGAGCTCCTCTCTACCCTGAACACAAGAGACCCTAATAGCTAGGCAAGAGTGTCATTGCCCCTATTCAGCCTGAAGAAGTTACAGAGGATGGATCTTTGTCCCTCTGCAACCCTGAGGATTAAGGGTTCTTTTATAAAACAGAGGCATGTAAACCAGAGCAACCCCATCTTGAATAGGAACTGGGTAAAATGACGCTGATAACCAACAGGCTGCACTCCCAGGGTTAAGGCATTCTAAGTCACAGGATGGTCGGCCCGAGATACAGGTCATAAAGACCTGCTGATAAAATAGGTTGCAGTAAAGAAGGTGACCAAAACCCACCAAAACCAAGATGGCCACAAGAGTAACCACTTGTCGTCCTCTCTGCTACACTCTCACCAGAGCCATGACAGTTGACAAACACCATGGCAATGTCAAGGAGTCACCCTATATGGTCTAAAAGGGGAGGCATGAATAATCCACCCCTTGTTTAGCATATTATCAAGAAATAACTATAAAATTGGGTAACCAGCAAGCCCTAGAGACTGCTCTGTTTATGGAGTAGCCATTCTTGTATTCTTCTACCTTCTTAATAAACTTTCTTTCACTTAAAAAAAAAATAGTGAAACTCGTAGAAGTAGATAGTAAAATGGTGGTTACCAAGGTCTGGAGAGGTGGGGGATTAGAAGATGTTGCTCAAAGTATACAAAATTTCAGTTAGACAGGAAGAATAAGTTCAAACGTTCTATTGTACAATACAGTGATATATACTTAATGACAATGTACTGAATATGTGAAAATTGCTAAGAGTACATTTTCAGTGTTCTCACCACAAGGAAATGATGTGACGTAATGCATTTGTTAAACAGCTTGATTTAGCCATTTCACACATATACATATTTGAGAACATCCTGGTGTATCCCTTAAATATGTACAATTTTATTTGTCGAAAATGAAAAAAGAAAAGAAGGTGAACTCTGTTATCATACTATGCAGTGGCCCATGAGTATCATTTATGTCAAACTGCTAAATATTATTGTTCAAGTTACTTATATCCTTAAAAATTTGTTAACTAAACTGCTTTCTCAGTTACTGAATTATGTTAAAATAATTACTTATGACTGCAATTTTGCTCATTTATCCTTTTATTTCTGTCAATTTTTGTTTGACATATTTCAACTATTGATGGGGGTGAATACAACTTTATAAACATGTCTTACCACTGAATTGATCCCCTTATCATTAAAAATATTCTTATTTATATAAGGTAATATCCCTTGATTCAAAATATATTTGTTCTAGCATTAATACAAGCACACCAGCTGTCTTTCTACTTTTAGCCCTACAACATTTGTAATATTTCACTCTACTCTCTTCTTGCTCCCATGATTTCTGTTATCTTTGGTTTTCCCTTGGAACATTTTCTTAAACACGGTGTAGGACTTGTAGTTCTATCAGCTGTAACATTCTATTATTGTAGAGGAGCCCAGTTGATGTGATGATAATGTGTGGAGTGAGAGGAAACATTCTGTACTCTTATGAGGAGGTCTCAGTCTTTTAGTGAATTGGTGTCCTTGGTGTAGAAACTTCACAAGGGCTTCTGAGATTTTACCCCTCTTGAGTGAGGCAAGGAGAATAGAAAGGGCTGGAGTTGGGGCAATCCCTCCCCCTACACTGGGCCTTGGGAGCTGGCTTGGAGAACTACCCTTTTTTCCTCAGGTTACTCCACTCTGGTAAAACGAACTCAGACTTAAGCCCCAAGGCCTCTGTGATTGGAATATTAAGGAACAAAAGCTATAAAATCACAGGACACCTGAACCAAAAGCTCCAGAATATTATGGTATGAAATGTTGCTTGCAGAACTTTATGGATTCAGGGGATAAAGTCAAAGCCTCCTTGGTCTACGGCCTCAAAACTCTGATCCATAGGCACAGTAGTAGAACTGCAACAAGATGAAAATCGTCATGGCTCCTGACACTATGGTTGCTAATTCTATAATGCCAGGACTCTATACCTTTAGGTCTTTAAAGTAAAATTTAAAAATTATCAAACCCAAAACCCTGTGACCTCAGGAAGAATGAGAGCCTCTGTGACCTAAAGTTTTCTTGCTTCTGGATTCTAGGATCCCAGGGTGCTCTTGCTTGAGGGTCCTATATGACCCTGGGCTTTTGTGGTTGAGGGTCTCAATGGTTTCAGTCCCCACAGACCAATGTGTCAATGTTCTTAGAAGTCTATGGCTCCAGGTCCACAGGCTCCTGTTAGGTAAGATACCAGGACCCTAAGGTAGGCTCAAGTCTGTAAGACTAAAGAGTCATGGGATGATGGGATCTCTGCTCCCAGGATCCCACTGTTACCACACTGACTGATTTCTGGTTCTTCCGATACTAGCACTAAAAAAGGTTTCCAGGATCCTTCTTACCTGCTTCATCTTGGTACCAAACACGGAGCCACTTACGTCAATAACAAAAACCACATTCTTCTCCATAGGTGGAAGGCCTCTGGAGATAAAGTAGTGAACGAAATAGTCATCTTAAATCTGGACCAAAAATAATTAAAACCAAGAAGGACTGTGAAAGCCAATCTAAATCAGGTCCCCTCTTATTCTCCTGCCTAACACTCTGAGGTTTGCTTCCCAGGACTTCTCACTTTTTAAACAGGC